TTGGTGGCCATGGTAACAATGTGACATCATTATGTTGAAAGAAGTCTATTGTGACTCTTGCAACATGTGGTCGGGCATTATCTTGTTGGAAAGTTGGATCTGCCAGGGTGTCAAGATAGGGTAAAAGATGGGGTTCTAGAACTTCGTGGATATAACGCTGCGCGTTCATGTTACCTCTGATGAAGATTAAAGGTGACCTGGAACCATAAGCTATAGCACCCCAAACCATAACTCCAACAGTGTGATGAACATGTCTTTCAACAAAAAACTGTGGATTCCTCCTTTCACCACGTCGCCTTCTAACCCTGGCACGACCATCGTGCATGCCTAAACAAAATCGAGACTCGTCACTAAAGACAATACTGTTCCATTCCTGATCCAGAGTGACCGTTGTCTGCACCACTCAAGGCGATTACGTCGGTGTTCTCGAGTTAAAGGGAGGACCCAGTGTGGCCGGTATGAAAACAAGCCAAAACTTCTCATTCGTCGGTAAACACTTCGCATGCCAATAGGTCTTCCGTGTTCTGCAAACCATTCATTTGCAATGGACCTGGTAGTGGAGAAACGGTCCCTTAAGGCCAATAATCTTAGGCGGCGATCTTCACGGTCTGTTGTTCTACGGCGGCGTCCAGTGCCCCTTGCTCTTTGCGTACGGCCTTCTCGAAGCCATGCCTGACAACACCTAACCACAGTGTCTACACTTCTTTGCACTCTAACTGCAATTGCCCGAAAAGAAAGTCCAGCTTCCCGAAGTCCCACTATACGGCCCCTATCAAACTCACTAAGTTGACGAAATCGTACAGGTCTCCGTACTCTAGGCATCGTAACCGATCGTAAAGGATGTCAAGAACCAAAATCCGCCAACGTTGATTCTTTACTGCGGCTGAAATATTCATTTTTAGAGCGTTAGTGAATTAAAAAAAAGCAGTATAAAAACCGTCCAACTGATAAGGCTGAAAATTTTTTCACTTGTTATTTACAGTAAGATAAATACATTCATCAACTTTTATTAAAATAAAACCATTTAAACTTAGTATAGATTAAAATTATTAGGTCCAGTGTCGTCCCGCGGGGCACCTTAGCGAATATTATTGACAAAAATGTACGCCACTACCTTTTTTGTAACTTTAATATTTGTGTTTCATTAAGCATCTGAAAATACAACTTCTTTGCCTCTTGTATTTTTTCCGTATCTCACTTCGTTTTCGAAAGAAAAACCGTTTTATTGCACGGCAGTGGACAAAATTGGTTTATTAATTTTTGTTAGAAAAATCACAAGTGCCTTGGAAAACAAAAAATCCTTTCTATATGGAAGTTTGACGTTTGCGCGTCAGTTCAAATTTCAACAGAATCGTGTGTAAATATTTTTTAAGATATTAATAAATTTTGTCCTGTATATTGAAAACTCACCATTTCCGGACCCATGTTTAAAGAATTTTTTTTTCATTTTTTCAAACAAGGAATCACGCTTTAAAATATCTCCGACTATCAGACCATGTATGAGAGTCATTTGTTTAATGTTAATGGGTATCATTCCCTAGTTCTGGGATGTTTAATTACTTTAAAAAAAAGTATGTGTTGCAGCAAATTCGGACGCACCTTATGATGAGTGCAAAAGTCAGTTCAACACGTCAAGAATCATTAAAATGAACGCATTAAGTCAGTTTCATCAACCACCAGGCTTCGTTGTCTATAACTCTGGTGAGTATAATTATCATCAGGCTGAGTCGATCAGAAGCATATCCAAATCCAAATAAAATAAAGCCATTTTTACATTCGCTCTCTCAGCTTGGATTTGACTGGGGCTTAGAGATGATTATTTCATCGATCGATCTTTTCTAGTGGATCGAATACCAACGGAATTTAAAAGCTTCAAATCGATTACAAAACAACTGAAAGAATACTATACGACCCATCCGAAGTTCCGTATTTTATCGGCAGGACAGTCTGAGTTAGGGGAAAGTTATAACGTAGACGCAAAGCCTATTGGAATACGAAAATATGGATCTTCAAGTTTCCGCCACAAGCCTGCTGGTAACGCGGGAATTTTGAAAAATTATATTCCTAGTGAAATCACTGAACAGGTACGTGAACGTTCCTTCGTGTCAAAATAAAGACGTGGAACTCAAAACTACGCGATATGGCGTCCATAAGAATAAATAAGTAAAAGTAAAAGCAGTATTTTACCAGTTTTACGATTATCTCTTTAAACATAAAATCTTGCTTCCCATCATTTCCCGTTTTGTAGCCTAGTGTAAATATGTTGGTTTTTTTATTCTTCCTTAAATATGATTCAGAACTACTTAGGTTTATCTCCAAAGTGCCTCATTTCCTACGGAGTTCCCAAGGATCCGTACTTGGGCCACTACTATTCATTTTGTATATTTCTGGCATGTAAACGCAGTCGTTTCCATTACCACAACGTTCAAAAAGCTGAATCTAACGTAAATCAAGATATAAAATCTACGTGGGACTAACTTTATAATATATATATAATATATAATATATAATATAAAATATAAATATAGATATAAATATAATATATATATAATATATAATATATAATATATAATATATAATATATATATATATATATATATATATATAATAATAATATATAATATATAATTATAATATATAATATATAATATATAATATATAATATATAATATAATATATATATATAATATCTAATAATAATATTAATATATATATATAATCTGTTTCAATAAATGAAATGTTGAATGTTTATTATATTTTATACGCTTACATTTTTACTTATCAAATGTTTCTTTATGTTTTGTATCCTGTTTTTTTTTGTTTTGACGATTTGGGACAATTATCATCATTCTTGTTAACGTTTTCGCATTCTTCATTTTCTTATTTATATATTTGTAGGACACCTCAGACTACGACTGGTCTCAAAATGTGAACAACAAAATAGATCCCGATTTCAGCGACTATCCATCGAAGATACCATACCTTACAATCAAAAACAATTGTTGCTGAAAGACTCGAAAAACAGGATCCGAGAAAATCCGAACGGAAAAATTCGAAATCGTATCCACAAAAAAGAACTTGTCGGACACAAAAGCATCTACGATTACGACAATGTCAGATCGGCTAGAAAAAGACTGATGGACGATGTCGACTATGTTCCGACCGAGATTCTGAAAGACACGTTCGTGAAAAACGAAGAGACGCGGTTGAGAAGGTCGAAATTTGAACAGAGAGACGTTAACACGCATTACGACAAGATCAAGGAAAAGGAGGATATCCAGAAGATCATCCAGAAAAAATTGGACGATATGAAGGCGAACGAAACTTTGAACCTTTGGCAGTTGGAATCGGAGAAAGAAGTGCAAGATTGGTCTAGTGGCAATTACAGAGGGAAGAGAGCGGTTAATTACACCTTTGAAAGTTCTTCTAAAATCACGTCAGTAGGTAAGAAGCTACTCGTACTTCAAAAATGGGAGTATGGCAAAAAGCAAATTACCCAGTTTTCAGTTTCCAAATCCTAACTTGTTGTAATAGTTATAGTTTCATAGCAATCAATCGTTTTCAGGTGCCATTTTAGACTCTTTGAATTCCACGAATCAGTCAAATACCATAGACTTGGTATTCATAACTTACTGGCAACCAGTGAACGTACAGCAACCAAGTTCTCTAAAAAATGACATCCAGGAATGTATCGAAGACAAAATGGCACTGAATTCAAAAGGTGTGTATCCCGTTTCAAATATGTTTGTTACCAGTTTTGAGAGCTTTGAATAATTTGAGAGGTTTGATAGTGACGTGTTTTTAGAGACTTAGGGTTTTCGAATTTTTAAAGATTTTAGAGACATTTTAGATATCTTAGACGTTTCAGACACCTTAGACACTTTAAAGATTTTCGTTATTTTTTCGAAATTTTCAGGATTTTCCAAATTTTCGAGATCTTTCACATTTTCGAGTTTTTGGGATTTTCGATTTCCGAGATTTTCTGAATTTTCTGAATTTCTGAGATATTTGAGATTTTCGAGATTTACAAGATTTTCGAGATATTAGTAAATTTCGAGTTTTTCGATATTTCCACGTATTTCGAGATTTTCGAAATTTTCGAGATTTTAGAAATTTTCGAGACTTTCAAAATTTTCGAAATTTCCGAGATTTTTGAGATCTTGTGTTTTCTCGAGATTTTCGAAATCTTCTAAATTTTTGAGATTTTCGAAATTTTTGCGATTTTTAAAATTCACGAAATGATCGAGATTTTCGAGATCTTCTGAATTTCCGAGATTTTGCGAATTCCGAGATTTCCGATTTTTTCCGAGACTTGAGATTTTCTGGGTTTTTGAAATTTTCAAGATTTCCCAGATTTTCGAGATTTTCTAAATTTTCCATATTTTCGAGATCCTCGAGATTTTTGAGAATTCCGAGATTTCCTAGATTTCCGAAATTTTCGATTTTCGTGTATTTACAGATTTCCGAGATTTTCGAAGTTTTCGGTATTTCGAAATTTTCGATCTTCCGAGATTTCCGTGATTTTAAGAATTCGAAATTTTCGAGATTTTGAAAATTTTCGATTTTCTGAATTTTCGAAATACACGAGATTTTCGTAATTTTCGAGATTTTCAAAATTTACGAAATGATCGAGATTTTCTAGATATTCTGAATTTCAAAGATTTCCGTGATTTTCGAGATTTTGAGATTTTGCGAATTCCGAGAATTCCGATTTTTTCCGATATTTTTGGGAATATCTGGATTTTTTAAATTTTAGAGATTTCCCAGATTTTCGAGATTGTCTAAATTTTCTATATTTTCGAGATCCTCGAGATTTTTGAGAATCCCGAGATTTCCTAGATTTCCGAAATTTTCGATTTTCGTGTATTTACAGATTTCTGAGATTTTCGAAGTTTTCGGTATTTCGAAATTTTCGATCTTCCGAGATTTCCGTGATTTTAAGAATTCGAAATTTTCGATTTTGAAAATTTTTGAGAATTTCTGAATTTTCGAAATATACGAGATTTTCGTAATTTTCGAGATTTTAGAAATTTTCGAGATTTTCAAAATTTACGAAATGATCGAGATTTTCTAGATATTCTGAATTTCAAAGATTTCCGTGATTTTCGAGATTTTGAGATTTTGCGAATTCCGAGATTTCCGTTTTTTCCGATATTTTTGAGAATTTCTGGATTTTATAAATTTTAGAGATTTCCCAGTCTTTCGAGATTGTCTAAATTTTCCATATTTTCGAGATCCTCGAGATTTTTGAGAATTCCGAGATTTCCTAGATCTCCGAAATTTTCGATTTTCGAGAATTTACAGATTTCCGAGATTTTCGAAGTTTTCGATTTTTCGAGATTTCAGAGATTTGAAGAATTCGAAATTTTCGAGATTTTGAAAATTTTCGAGATTTTCTGAATTTTCGAAATATACGAGATTTTTGAGATTTTCGATTTTCGAAATTTTCGAGATTTCCGACATTTTAGATGGGTTCGAGGTTTTCGGAATTTTTGAAATTCACGAGATTTTAGAGATCTTAGAGTGCATGGAGTACTCAGCATAATTCTTAAAAAGAAAATTTTCGCATTACAGATCCCACTTCTGACTACCAAAAGAATACAGAAAAAGAACAACGTGCCCTGTACAAACAAGAGTGCCTGGAAGAACAATCGAATTTGCGTAACACATTCGCCTACTACGACCGTCTTCAACAGTTGCACTTGGGACAAATGACCGTCTAACCGCGTGACAATCGAATGCGAATGCCAAATAGCCAAAAAGAACGAGAGTGCGCCAGGTTTCTGCCGAGAAAGGAACAGAGTTAGCCGGAGTACTTAGGAAGGAACGGGGACGGGATCTTTGTTTCAGTGGGTGAAATTTGTAAATTATTTATATAAATTTCGTTTTTGATTATTATGGAGGATAAAAATACATTCTCAACACAAGTAACAGATCCGTCAGAACCTAGACTATCGATGGAAGTAGAAAAAATATCTTTTTCAAGCATATTTTTCATCCCAAATCAGTATAAATCGCTTGAACCCATAATCAAAAGAAATTCCGAACATATATCCTTGCCATAGCATAACAGCTTTTATTTTGATCCTTCCGAGTACAATTTATTGTAACTTATACCAGAACTAGTTTGTAAATACTGTAAAATTATTTGTATATATCAAATTCTATCCAGATTTTTGTTAAGTCAGATTCTACTTAACAAAATGTCATCATTTCAGCTATATTGCAGCACTTTCATCCGTAATTTTCAGACCTCAAGCTACAAAAACATATTGAAAATTCTTCTTATTTGTCAGAATCTAATTTCTAAATTGAAACCTTACATGAATTATACAAAATTCCACAGTTGAACGCTTGACAATCGTTTAGACATGCACGTAACAGCCTTTAGCTTTAAGCTATATACAAATGCAATTTTTCCGAAGCAACTCTCCTAAAGCATAATACACTCATTCATATCCACAACACTGTTAAGGATTTTTAAAGAAAATTCGGAATTTTGAACTAACCGAGATTATAGAAAAATGTATGAGACGTATATCTACATATTATATTGATAAAAACAAAATGTTGATAAGGTGTGTGGAGTGCAAAAAATGACTAGTAGCTATTCCTATTACTAAACCTCCTCATAATGCGTAAAATATACGAGGGTTGTCTCAAAAATATGGTTTCCAACGCCAAAAATGTGGGAACCTATTTTTCAAACAACCCTCGTAGGTAAATATTACGTTTCATTCAGAATAAAATAAATATGATTTCTCTCACTTTTGCATTGAAATTCGTAACAGAAACGGTAAATAATAAAATATCAGCTTGCAAATAATTGGCTGGAAGATATTTGCAACTGTCATTTTATTAAAAAATAGCTACTAATCGTGGACTGTGTATATTGATGAATATAACAATATGTTTAAAAGTAAATAGATATGTTATTTTTTATAATAAAATGTTGATTATCTATACTATGTGGTTTTAATTTATCTCATTCGTTAAATTGAAAATGGAGTCGAATTAATCCAGTACTTCGCTTGCATCTCACGTTTTGATTGTTGCGAAGTGACTCATGGATCAAAATACGATCCTGTCATCAGCAGTAGGAAGACTAAAAAGTCTTTAAACGACCTAGAGTTTGAAAAAACAATAGTCAAACTTCATTTTACTTTAAATTTGGCTTTTAGTATGGATAGATAAATAATCTTTATCTTCATTTAGATTTCTAATTATTCTTGTAATAAAGAAAATCTTTGCTAGTCGAGAAAGCACTTTACATACATGATTAGTAAAATCTGATTTGAGATCTATGTTCGGTACCAAAAATTTGATGGTGTCTGTTTTGTGTATCAACTCATTTAAATTTATAAAATCGATAAAGCACTTCTGTACCTCAGAACCAGACTAGATTAAGTCGAAATAAGTAGTTTTGATATAATTGTATTTGAAATATTTTTCTTGCAAAGTATTGATATGAATTAAATAGTCGTAACTTCCATATTATTACCGATAGATGGACTCTGCATGTAGCAAATGAAAATTCACAATATTATAATAAGCTTAACATATTAAACTCATTTTTGAAAAAATGGACTTAACCTAGTCTGGCTGTGAGGTACACATTTGGAAGTCATACATTTTGCCTTATTAACATCTAAAGTCAAGTAGTTGTTGTCACACCATTTTTTTATTGATTGTAAATCAGTCACAGGAAAAACTACGAATTTGCCAAGTCTATTAAATCGTTGATATAGACTAAGAATAGGATTGGACCTGATACCGATCTCTGAGGTACCTCTGCGTTTATATTTAATTTATTTGAAATATAGTGTCTTAATAATTTTACAATTTGGAATCGAAATATGTTCGAACCAAATGAGCGAAACTCCGGCACAACCACATTCGTTTAATGTTTTAATAATATACAGGGTGGCGCAAAGAAAACGAAACAGACGCATTTGGCAGCTCAGTTTTTTTTTGGAAAAACGCTCAGACCCGTCGATTTTGTGTTCGAGGGGGACACAAGTTTGGCAAAAAAATCACGTTAGCACGTGCAGCCCCCTAAGCGGGGGTGACACCACCCCCAAAATCTTAAATGGAAAGGGGGGTCGAGTGATACCTTATTTTAAAGGTCTTTCAATTCCCTTTATCGTAAACTATGTACTAAATTCCTATTTAAAATAAGTTTGAGATATTTCCTTATCTTCCTTCAAGAAATAACTTTTGCCACAAAAAACGCTCAAACAGCTATTTTCAACAAAAAAATGATAAACAAACCATGGGCGTAGTGAAGAAAAGCATTTACTTATTAAGTAAATTCTTTAGTCAAATTTCTTCTGAAAGTAGTACAAACCAATCTGACGTACCTATTAAAGTCTACTTTAAGCTTTAAATCAATAAATCTTCAAAACTACTGAACTGAAGCTCATATATTTTACATCATTTTAAAGGGAATTGAAAGACCTTTAAAATAAGGTATAACTCAACCCCCCTTTCCATTTAAGATTTTAGGGTTGCTGTCACCCCGGCCCAGGGGGCTGCACGTGTTAACGTAATTTTTTGCCAAACTTGTGTCCCCCTCGAAAACAAAATCGACGGGTCTGAGCGTTTTTCCAAAAAAAAAACTGAACTGTCAGTAAATGCGCCACCCTGTATAATGATTTACACAATCAAAAGCTTTGGAAAACTCACAAAAAAGAGCTATTGGAATTTGTTTATCGTTTAAATTTTAATCGCAGACTTCAATCCGGAAAGTGATAATAAAGTCCATCAAAACGTACATCTTTAGTATTGTGACAAACGGCGCCATCTGTTGGGCGAGTCTCCTACTCGCCAGAGCTTAATGGCCGATCTCTGCTTTTACGCGAACCACGACCGTACAAGTCGCTTGGCGGCGCCTGTGAGGACGGTGACCGTGGATCGCCTTCTATATCGACGCGAAGCTACCTCCAATATTCTAGATGCCGCTTTGTGGTTCACCAGACCTTTCTCGAAACAGCAATTGCGACTATAACTCGGCGGCCGGGAGATGGAAGTAGAGTACTGAATACGGTAGAGTAGCAGAGCGGAGTGAAGGATAGCGCAGTCAATGGTGACATAAGAATTAGTCAAACAGAAATAGTGGTTACATAAATGTTGCAATGTGTATTTCTTTTTGTGGAATCCAGTGTCTTAATTCACACCGAAAAGAACCCAGAAAAACGCTACAGTATTTTCTCACGGACATAGATCAAACCAACTCGGTTGCCCATAGCAACAGTGTTGCGCCGTTGACTTTCTTGACCTGATTTTTGAAATTGAACGGCGGGCAATTTGGGCTCTATATAATCTTTGAATAATATTTAAAATGGCCTCTGCTAGATGTATGCCTTTCAGGCCACACGATTTCATGTACGGTAGGTACGATTTTGCTTGGAATTAGACCAAATTGTGCACTATGAAGAGCTATTTTGCTTTCAGATCCGATTTTTACTGTTTCTGGACCCGCAGATCACTACAAAGCTGCTATAGCTGCAAAAATGTCTACAGCGAAATTCGTAAGTAGAAATAAAATTACTATTGAAGCTTCTTCTTATGAGAGAACCCCATTTAGGGTTACGTTTGCTAGTAAAGAGGGCACATCATTGTTTATATCTTTTTAATGGAAATCTCTCCATCAAGTAACTAACAGTGGCATCTTTAATAATCCATTATGTTTCTTCCCTTATGCGTCATTGAACTTGTTTAAAAACAAGCTTCTTTCTCTCTGAAAGTCAGCTGGCCGCGAAAAGTTTCTTTGAGGGCAAACATGTTACTTCTGAATTAAAATAAGTTGCTATTTTTTTCAGCAAATATGTCCGATATTCCCGAACATGTTCTCGGACCTGCCCTCACGACCCAGAGTCCAATACGTCCGGAGGCGGCCCACGTTGAAAGCGCCGCCCCCGTTCAAACGACGTTTGCCGTCGGAACCGACCGATCCTCGACTTCAGAGACAGCCTGACGTCCTAGGGAAAGATAGGCTCAAGTTTTTCTGCCCTATCATCAATTTTCCCACCAAGGTATGACAGCAAACTAATTTTATTTCATGAGGGAATAATGTTATCGCGAAGTACCAGGAACTTTTTAGTTTTTGCAAATCGTTCCAGTGGAGATGGAAACAAATGCCAAAAACGGAAAAAATAAAAACCTGTCAAACTTAATGCACTTCCAACCCCGGTAATTCTATTAACATATTAGAAATATTTCACACATCACAAATTTTTCCGTCAAGCTTGGAAAAAGATTTTTAGCGGCCGAATCGCGTACCTATCGGTCGCACTCGCGGTGCGCCACTGGGTTGAAAATATTGCATCTTTAGTGCTGGATTCTAGGGACTTATGAAAGAAGGCAACGGTCACGTGATATGCACATACGAGGAAACGGAGGACAGGTTAAGTCATAATAGTTTTCAGAAAAATATAATAAAAAATCTAAGTCGTGTACTTTTCAAATTATAGGCTTTGAAAAAAAAATCGGAAATCCCTACATACTGCGATAATCTTTTAGTTCCTATTACTGCAAATTTCAGTTTTTTCATCTCGATATCTTGTACCTAAACTAAAATTTAGGCAAAAGAAAACTTTATACGGAAATCCCTTAAATTTGTATCTTTTTAAACTAATTTTTCTGGAATTTCTTTTTATTATTAAGTGTTTTAAGCGTCCCCATAAACAAAAATTAAGACAAGTCAAGTTGGTGATCGCGAAGGCCCTTGGAAACAGACTTCCTCTTAAAAACCACCGCTGTATTAATGAGGTTTCTTGGTTTCGCAACGTAATGCTGTATATAGTATAGTATATATGTATCACGGGCTATTAAACAACAGTTATTAAGCATTGTTGGTAAACAGTTTTATACCAGAGCACCAAAAAATTGAGACTACCGTGTACGGACACACTGATTGCCTCGATCTGGGGATTTTTTTCGCGGAATGCCCAAATAATGCTCTAATAGACCTGACAAAACCAAATTTTAAATTACTGGAGACTAAAGCTCAAAAATAGACAAACTGTTTATCATAAATTATATATAGTCAAATTTCTTCTGAAAGTAGTACAAACTAATTTGATGTACCTATTAAAGGCTACTTTAAGCTTTAAATCGATAAATCTTCAAAACTAGTGAACTGAAGCTCATTCATTTTACATCATTATAAAGGGAATTGAAAGACCTTTAAAATAAGGTATCACTCGACCCCCTTTGCATTTAAGATTTTAGGGTTGGTGTCACCCCCGCCCAGGGGGCTGCACGTGTTAACGTGATTTTTTGCCAAACTTGTGTCCCCCTCGAAAACAAAATCGACGGGTCTGAGCGTTCTTCCAAAAAAAACTGAGCTGCCAGTAGATGCGTCTGTTTCGTTTTCGATCCGCTACCCTGTATAAAAAACTTAAGATAAACTAAGTCTAAAATATTTTTCTGGGTATCTTAGGGAAAGTTTGACTTTCAGCCTAAACACTTTGCAGCTTCAAAAATAATAGTTTTGATGGGGTTTTTAAGCATTGCAAACGGTCATTTTTAGGATTTTGATTTAAGTCTTTTATAACTCTAACACTGTAGACTTTTGAGAAATGTTACCGAACATCTTTTTTATTCAGAATGACCCAAAAAAAAACTAAAAAGACCTTGTACGGCGCGAAAAAAAGCAATGTTTTGTAATTTGCTTAAAAAAATGCTTGACCACAATCACGTCATAACCACATATTGTTCGGAAAATTAGAAAACGAGATACTATAATTTTTCAGATGTTATCTGGCGTGTACGTCACGAAACACCATGTCACTCATTTCCATTGTCAGTCTGTCCGTAGTTCAAACGCTGCCGGCATGGTGGCGCCTCGCCAACAACATTAACTTATTTTTGTTGAAATGCCCTTTTGTTTCAGGAAGCACTGCCGTATGTGGCCTTCCAAACGTACAAAATCGAAAGAATACCGAAAAAAAAAAATCAAAAAAGCAGCTACAGCGAAGACGCTGACGTTTGACGTAGGAACGGAAACAGATTACAGAGAATCTGGTGCCCAAACGGATCCCTGGGAACCACCTTATGTGGTTGTCGGCGACGGCGACCCCGAAGTGCTCAAATTGGAGTTTCTCAAATGGGGTAAGGTATTATTGACAGGCGAAAGCCTGGGCACGTCAACGCAGTCGCTTTCAAAGCTTCGCAACCTGCGATACATGATGGCGTAACACTGGCTGCCTAACTATGCGAGTGTGTCTTTACGCCGTTCAAGGGCGTTACGTTATTATTCAAACGATAAACCATACTTATCTATGTCATAGGTAGCGGGTTACCAGCAGGTGTTCGAGAAGTTCAACTGATAGAACGGGCTCGGATGAAAGCAGCCTGGGAAAAAGTGATACAACCCAATGTAAACGATGAAAATTCACTGGTACAATTCAGAGACTATTTGGAAGCTCTTGAAAGAGACGAATGGGCGTTCAGAGAACAGGTTAGAACAATTCGTGTTTTTAATACAACAAATTGCAGTCACATGTGCAGGCCGTTGACGCCCCCCCCCCTCTCCAAACGCCCAAGTCTGCCATTTTTTGAAAAGGCTTGTTTCAGAAATAAGGATCCTACATTTTTTCTGGCTATTTGAAAAAACGTTGACCTGATTCGTACGCCCATCTTCTGTACCGATTTATCAAGTGGTGTCGAACATGTAAAAGCCAATTTCCTTGTATGTTTGCCCTTGAAACTTAGAGAAATATATACTGACGCGTCACGCTCTCGCTAGTCAAACTTCATGCACCCACCGCTATCTGCACCTGACTGCATCGCTGGCGCTCTCGATCTCTAGTGTTATGTCTGACGCTTCTGGCGTCGTTGTCAGATGGTAGAGAAATAAATTAATGGCGTTACTAAGTGTGGTCTAGTTCTATGTGCCTCTTTGACTGGCTTGATCTATTCACCTTTTTTGTTATGAATTTTTTTTATTGCATTTCATATTTTCAAGTAGGAAATCGCAGAAGTACAAGAGCTACGACTACAACTACTAGAAAATATGCTGGACGAAATCCATGAAAAATCTCATACAAGAACGGAAATGAAGATGAATAGTTTTATAGAAAGACAAAACGCGCTGAAAGAAGAAAAATTGAGCAAAATTAGAAAGCAAGCCGCTAGAGGTAATAATTATTATATAGGGTGTTTCAGTTTATTGTTGCATAACTTTAAGATTCGATAGAACTTTTAAAATTAATGCATAAAGTATATATAAACATGGGTCGAAAAATGCGTGGCTTCCGAAATACAGGGTGTTTAAATTTACTTTCTAAAATAGTTTTTTTTTTAATATTTCGAACAGTATTTGATGTATAACAGTGAAAATTGGTATACAAGGGTTTTTTGGTACGACAAAACGAACCATGGTCATAGTTTTACTGTAGCCGCTAGATGGCGCTCTCTACTGTACCTGTAGTGTATTAAAATGACCGAAAAATTTTTCTTAGTGCAATTTTTTACTTTTTGAATAAAGAAACTGATTCTTCGCACTTTTCAACATAAAAAAGCTCTCCTGTGAGTTTTCGTTATAGTTAGCCGTTTTTGAGATATTTCGATTTTTAAGGTTCGATGCACTAGACGTGGAGTGGTAAATTTTCATAATCAACGTATTTGGTCGCATGAAAATCCGCATGCAGTTCGGGAAAGAAATTTTCAGCATTTATTTAGTGTGAACGTGTGGATTGGTATCTACCGTAATTGACTATTTGGACCCTACCTTTTGCATGCAAGGTTAAAAGCTGCGACCTTCTTGGAATTTTTAAAGGCTGAACATGCAAATATCTGGGATGATGTTTGTTAGATTTAAGAAGATTGGCCTGGTTCCAGCTTGATGGTTGTCCAGCTCATTATTCGAGAATAGTTAGAAACTGGCTGGACGAAAATTATCCAGAAAGATGGATCGGCCGTGGAGGACCAGTCGCCTGGCCTCCACGATCCCCTGACCTAAATCCATTAGATTTCTTTGTGTGGGGATTTCTAAAAGAAAAAGTGTAGCAGACTCCCGTAACCACAAGAGATATGCTAATAGACAGAATCAGGAATGCATGTGATGAAATAACGCCTTATTTGAATAATGCATTTTAGTTGTAAATAATTAATTTAATTTGTTAAAAATAATATTGGGAAATTAAACAAATTAATATTCTGTTTTTTGTTTATTTGGAGTTAGGAATTATTGCTGTGTTTAAAAACACAATCTAAACGATCATCTTAATTACTTGTAATGCCCAAATCGAAAATGTAAAAAAAATATTAATTTCCCATGAATAATTAAAAATGCATCGAACCTTAAAATCGAAATATCTCAAAAACGGCTAACTATAACGAAAACTCACAGAAGAGCTTTTTAATGCAGAAAAGTGCGAAGAATCAGTTTTTTTATTCAAAAAGCAAAAAATTGGACTAAGAAAAATTTTTCGGTCATTTTAATACACTACAGGTACAGTAGAGAGCGCCCTCTAGCGGCTACAGTAAAACTATGCCATGGTTCGTTTTGTCGTACCAAAAAACCCTTGTATACCAATTTTCACTGTTATACATCAAATATTGTTCGAAATATTTAAAAAAAAAACTATTTTAAAAAGTAAATTTAAACACCCTGTATTTCGGAAGCCACGCATTTTTCGACCCATGTTCATATAGACTTTATGCATTAATTTTAAAAGTTCTATCGAATCTTAAAGTTATGCAACAATTAACTGAAACACCCTGTATAACACTTCTATCCCAAAATATACATTTACCCTACCTGGGCTATTATTTCCAGAAATGAGGAAATTGGAAGCTCAAAAGCGAGGTTTCAATCCAAGATATCACCGTGTGAACATTATAGATGAGCACGCTGATAAGAAATCAGAAATCTATGGACCGTAGAGACATGGAGAACATCCGAAACGTTGGCACCAAGTGATAGACGAGAAGATGAAGCAATACAGAGCTCAGTTCATTGGTAAAAACTTCAGCTCATCTAAGCGGTGTACAAACTCGAGGAATTAAAATTTTCTTAAACTGCTCCAATATTCAGGTGTTGAAAACTTCAGCACGTTGCCGGGTGGTTAGAAATCGCCACCAAAAAATGGAGGAAGGAACTTAGCAAGAGAACCGTACAGAAAGGCCTATGTATCAAGGAAACCAAATGGACAGCGCCAGTCCTCAAAGAACTCCACGAAGAACTTAAGAGTGAGTGTGACTGAACTAGTCATATTTTTCAATCCCATAAAGACACAAGTAAAGTTAGTCAACATCGCATACTACCACAAAAACACTATGACCTCAGCAGCAATAATTTTGATTGCGGGGTCCGCAAGGATCTGTATTGGGTCCACTGCTTTTTATTATCTACATAAAGGATATATTTTGCTGATACGATTCTAAAAATGACAAATGTTGTCAACACTCATTATATCTCCCACCAGCTCATATTTTGATGGCGGAATACCGCAAGGATCTGTACTGAGGCCCCTGTTTACAGTTATTTATGTACAAAGCATATCAATTCACAGCTACGATTCCTAATGTTTTTTGAACGAGACTAGTAAATGTTGTAGTTTCTTAAGCTCTATTTTCATGAATAGATCTGCATAAGGATGTTGATGAGCGACCCTTAGCGTTGAGGACGAAAGTTGAAATTCCAATTCCGGAACCAGCCACCCCGGAAATTGAAGGTGTACCGCCGGAAGAAGATAAGCAATATCAAGCTGTCGTGTTGCTTCAGAAGATCATTAGAGGACGAGCTGAACAGATGCTGGTAAGTTGAGGACGGTTCTTCAAATTGTAAAAAGGAGTATGTTTTATTGCTTCTAAAGAAATTAGCGTTGTCCTACTTGGATTCACGACTGATGATGGAAATTGTATATGCCCATACGCAGCATTGACCATTTTCATGGAAAATGATGTCAATGTCTCAGTTCATCTCTTAATGATAATTTTCAGATATATGAGGGTAGAGATACTTGTAAAGAACTTATACAAGAGCTGAAGTATTCGGTCGGTTTGTTGAAGAAAGACAAAGGGATCCGTAGTAAAGAGAAGCAAAAAGTTAAGCTACAACAAAGGGAAGAAAGTATCCAGCTCAATATGGTAGGTATCTTCTTCCCTTATTATTTGCTCGGGTATTCCGCTTCAAGATATTCTGTAAATGCTTAGTGACACGTCTTCCAATAAATTGGGTAAATTATTTTGTAAAAAGTCTGAATAAGTTTCGCCATTCAAGAACTCTGTCAGCTCAAAGGGTATAATGATTCTCCCATTTAGAATCCACATTCTTACTATAAAACCTGTAAATCTGTATCAGGATCGCAGTAACGGCAAGAGGTTTCGATGCCATGGACTTGAATTTCGCTCTTATCTCATAGCAGGAGCAGGATATCCTTTTCATACCTGCCCGCGTTTCTGTGATCCTGATAGCAACTCGTCGTCCACCAATTGTACAAGGAAATTCTGCATGACAATGTGATTTTCAGAAACCTATAGATCTGTATGTATCAGGATTGCAGAAACGGCAAGATGTTTCGATGCCATGGATTTGAATTTCATGCTTATCTGATAGCAGGAGCAATTATTTGCAAATCTCCTTGCGTTTCTTTAAACCTGATAACACTTTTCCAGTCTACCAATTTTACGAAGAAGGTTGACAGTGCGATATTCAGAAACAAATATATCTGTATCAGGATTGCAGATAGGATTAGGAGCATAGATGTCGAAGATAAAATTTCGCGCCAACATCATAGCATAAGCAGAGTGCTATTCTCATATCTTCTTGGGTTTCTGTGGTCCTGATAGCAACTCGTCGTCCACCAATTCTACAAGGAAAGACTGGATAACAGTGCGATTTTCAGAAACCTATGGGTCTGTATCAGGATCGCAGAAACGGCAAGAGGTTTCGATGCCCCCTCGCATTTCTGTAAACCTGATAACGATTCTCGAATCTACCAATTTTATGGAGTTATGGACAACAGTGCGATATTCAGAAATACATAGATCTGTATCAGGATTGCAGAAAGGATTAGGAGCATAGAGGTCGAGGATAAAAACTTCTCACCAACATCATAGCATAAGCAGAGTACCATTCTCATATCTTCTTGGGCTTCTGTGGTCCTGATAGCTACTCGTTGTCCACCAATTTTACAAGGGAGGTCTGGACAACAGTGCGATTTTCAGAAACCTATAGATCTGTATCAGGATCGCAGAAAGGGTAAGAGGTATCGATGACATGGATTTGAATTTCGTTCTTATCTCATAGCAGCATTTGCAAACCTCCTCGCATTTCTGTAAACCTGATAACGATTCTCGAATCTACCAATTTTATGAAGTTATGGACAACAGTGCGATATTCAGAAACACATAGATCTGTATCAGGATTGCAGAAAGGATTAGGAGCATAGAGGTCGAGGATAAAAACCTCGCACCAACATCATAGCATAAGCAGAGTACCATTCTCATATCTTCTTGGGCTTCTGTGGTCCTGATAGCTACTCGTCGTCCACCAATTTTACAAGGGAAGTCTGGACAACAGTGCGATTTTCAGAAACCTATAGATCTGTATCAGGATCGCAGAAAGGGTAAGAGGTATCGATGACATGGATTTGAATTTCGTTCTTATCTCATAGCAGCATTTGCAAACCTCCTCGCATTTCTGTAAACCTGATAACAATTCTCGAATCTACCGATTGTATGAAGAAACAACAGTGCGATATTCAGAAACACATAGATCTGTATCAGGATTGCAGAAAGGATTAGGAGCATAGAGGTCGAGGATAAAAACGTCTCACCAACATCATAGCATAAGCAGAGTACCATTCTCATATCTTCTTGGGCGTCTGTGGTCCTGATAGCTACTCGTCGTCCACCAATTTTACAAGGGAAGTCTGGACAACAGTGCGATTTTCAGAAACCTAGAGATCTGTATCAGGATCGCAGAAACGGTAAGAGGTATCGATGACATGGATTTGAATTTCGTTCTTATCTCATAGCAGCATTTGCAAACCTCCTCGCATTTCTGTAAACCTGATAACAATTCTCGAATCTACCGATTGTATGAAGAAACAACAGTGCGATATTTAGAAACACATAGATCTGTATCAGGATTGCAGAAAGGATTAGGAGCATAGAGGTCGAGGATAAAAACTTCGCACCAACATCATAGCATAAGCAGAGTACCATTCTCATATCTTCTTGGATTTCTGTGGTCCTGATAGCAACTCGTCGTCCACCAATTTTACAAGGAAAGTCTGGACAACAGTGCGAT